GGTGGGCTGATTGCAGCTTAGAGGACCTAAGGTTATATCTACAGCTGGCAGCTACCAGAGATCTTCCTTTAGGTCAAGCAAAATGTTCACAAAGACATCTTGAGCAAACAGAATTCTTGTAAGGACTGAATCTACCCTACAACCATCTGTTTTACCAGCCTCTGGACTGGAATAGGATTTGACTCTCTGTGGTCCTTATGCAGGGATCTGTGGCCACTAGAGGTCCTCTGGCCATCCACTGACTCCCTCTCCACCCCTGGTCTGCTCCCAGATCCTTCCTCTACCCTGGCCTATAAGGAGCTGGTACAAAACTCTATTGTGCTGGGCCCAGCAGTTGCAGAATTCCCAAACACTTTCTACAGCTGCCATCATGGTAACATCTGAGTGCCTCACAAACATTAATGAGTTTATCCTCCCAACAATCCTATGACTACTTGCTTCACCACAACACTAGCCATCCTCCTCTTGTACAACTGCAAAAGTACTGCTGTGTTGAGAGTCTGCCACAGCCCCTGTACACAGGGTTAGTATCATCTCTAGTCTCTCTGCTTCAGTTTCCCAATGTGTAAAATTGGGATAATATTACACTACCTCACAAGGGTGTGTGAGTTTTCATCAGTTAATGATTGTAAAGCAGCTCCTGAAGATGCTATAGAAATGCCAACTATTACTATTAAATATGATAGTTGTTGTTTGTAAAAACTCTTGGAAGATGAAAAACACCATCTAGACCAGGGGGCTGTTCAGCACAGCATTACTGTATTGTAACTCTGTTGAAATCAGTGAAGTCATGCAGTGGTGAATCAGGCCTTGCAAGCATTATCAATACGTAAATACATTACAGCAATCGGGGGAGATGGGAATTTACACCAGACTAAATCAGTAATAACTCTAGTGAAGTCAATGGAGTTACATCAGTGTAAAGAGATCAGAATAAGGCTCCATATCTTTTTGTTCTGATTCTCTCAAAGGCACTGGCACATTCTCTCAAAGGCACATGTTAAGAACTGAGGGTAGCCCTTATAGATTGTGTTAGATGTTCTGGGACCTTTAGATCAAAAATGTACCGTTTACTTCTCGGGGAATTCTGCACCAAAAAATTAAAAATTCTGCGCACAATATTTTAAAATTCTGCATATTTTATTTGTCAAAATAACACAAAATAATCATGCCGGTTTCAATTATTTTGGTAATTTATTTCAAAATACCTGTCAGCAAGTATGTCTGTAACAATAGAGACAACATAAAAGATTCAGGAAATGTTTTTTGACAAATAGATTCCTTACTAGGCATATAAATACAGAACTTTGAGTAATAATATGTTTAAACTACAATGCAGAAACATATTTCCTGCACCCCTCAGAAACAGTGCAAAGGCTTGGGGGAGTCGGGGTAATGGAGGAGCTGAGGGAGAGGGAAGTAATTGCTGGGAAGGAGTCTGGGAGTGAACTGTGGAGGGTTGTTGGGTGTGGGTGGGAGAAGTATGGAACAGTTTTTGGGGGGAGGGGGAGGGATGGTTAGGGAGTTGGGGAGCCTCCCCCAGGGAAACCATGGCTGCCCCTAACCTCTCCCATTCAGTCAGGCACATCTGCCCATGTCCCCATGTGTCCTTGCATCCCCACGCTCCATTCAGCCAGGCATATCTGCACATGTCCCCATGTGGCCCTGCACCCTCACTCAGCGAGGCATAGCTGTCCCTGTCTTCATGTATTCCTGCACCCCCAAGTCCCATTCAGCCAGGCATAGCTGCCCCTGTCCCATTGTGTCCCTGCATCTCCACTCAGCCACCCCCATTCCCCCCCCATCCTCATGTATCCCAGCACTCCCTCTTCCCCCCAGTCCCCATGTGTCCTTGCATCCCCACTCCCCATTCAGTCCCTGGCTCAATGTTGTCACCCCACTAGCTTCTGTGCCCTTGTCCCAGTCTGTCCCCTGCACTAGCCCTTCTGAACCCCAGTCTGTGTGACCCCCCCAGCAGCCTGTTTTGCCCCACTCTGTTCATCCCCCCATATCCCGTGCCTCTTCACCTGGGCCCATGGGCAGAACGCTGTGAGGAAGGCAGCCTCTACCCCTCCCTCTCTGCGGCTGCCTTCGCTTCTGGAACCACATCAGCCCCTGGTGCAAAAGGTGTAATTGCAGCATGACCCCTCTTGCAGCTTCCCTTTGCCTCCCTGTCAGAATCAATTATTCTGCGGAGGGGAGGAATCTGTGGGGGCATTAATTGTGCACTTGCGCGATGGTGCAGAATTCTCCCAGGAGTAACGTTTTGGTATTCTTGAGTCCTGGACATTCCCCAGTTTCAGTCACCAACCCACTCTTCCTCTTTCACATTATCCCAGTCTATAATCCTGCTAGCCCTTGCTGATTATGACACTGTGATGATAATGGTGTATTTTCCTTAGGCTGATGAAAGTGACAAAATTATTTCTATAACCAAGTAGAAAATATCAAAAAATAATTTCTGTTTATTGTAAAGATCATCATCATGTTCCTGTTACGCCTCTGGCGTTTAGGGCAGTGACGAAGCTCCTCCACTCCTGTCTGTTTCTGGCAAGTCTTTCAGTGGTTCCCCAGCTGTGCCCCAGGATTTTCAGCTCGGCTTCCACAGCTCTTTGGCATGTTGTTTTCAGGTGGCCTCGTTTTCGCTTGCCTTCAGGTGTCCATCTTATTGCTACTCTGGTGATGGAATCAGTTTCCATCTGAAGCACATGACCGATCCATCTCCAACGCCTCCTGGCAATGATGGTGCTCAGATCCTCTTGGCTGCACTGTGTCAATAGATCTTGGTTTGAGATTGTAAAGATAAGGTTGGGAAATCTTGTTTAAATATACCTGTTAAAAGATTCCCATGTCAGCCAAGCCCAAAGAGAGAGGCTTATAATTCGAACCTTTTAAATTAATCCTTTGGAAAAGAAGGAAGCATGTTGAAAGAATAAATGCCCCAGGTACCAAAAGATACAATTATAATGAAGACACATAAGATGAATACACTGAAAGTGAATGAAACCAAAGTCTATTATACTGAACAATGAAGGTGTGGAAAGGGTTATTATATAAGAGAAAAGGAGCTGGTGTTCCAGATTCACAAGAGTAAAAAATGGGTGTTGGATACCAAAAGGAAAGAAATAATTTCAGGCCACACCCAGACTCTGTTAAAAATCAGTGGAATAGCATCCACTGGGCCTGGTCCGAGTTTGGCCCCTTGGTTTCTTTTCAGTGGGGTGGTAGCGTTTGCTAGAGTAAATTTTGGGGAAGACCACGGTGTAATTGTTACAGTGCCATGAGTCCTGGAAACTATGGCAACAAATAAGAAAAGCTCAAGATTTGTTTGGTAACAAGTAAAAACAGCTTTGAAGCCCCCGGCTTTTGACCGTAGGGCCAAACTCCTCCCTCACATGTGTACATGCAATGCCCATTGTCTTCAGTGGGAGATGTGAGAATATATAGAATTGGGCCCATAATTTTTGTTGGGGAGCATCATGACCCTTTTATATCCTGAGCTACTGGCTCTCCCCTCCCCCACATGCTTCTACTTGCAGGCTATGACTCTTGTAAGTTTTTAATTTTTGGTCCAAAGTCTTTGGGCCTGATTCATTACTTTTTACTTCTGTTTTATACCCGTGTAACTCCATTGAAGTCAATGAAGTAACACCAGTGTAAAACTGGAGTAGCTCAGTGATGAATCAAGCCCTTTATGTTTCGGGAGTGCTTTGCCATCACTTCTCTCCTTTTAGACTCTTATCAGCAAAGTGCTTAAGCATGCACTTAACTTTAAGCATGAGAGTAGTCCCACTGAAATCAATGGGACTAACTCACATGACTAAAGTTAAGCACCTGCTTAAGTGCTTTATTAGATCAGGGCCCTACAGCTTGCCCCATACTATCTGGACCGTATCACCTTAGGAAGTATTGTCCCCATTTTACAGATGCAGAACTGAGGCACAGAGTAGATGAAGTGACTTGTCCAAGCTCACATATTGAAAGCAGGTCTCCTGAGCTTCAGTCCAGTGCCCGAGCTACTAGGTCATCCTTCCTGTCCTTTTTGATACAGAGCCATGCACCCCCAGAGTGAGTCCACCCATTTGGACCTTTTGGTCCCTGCAGTGTTGTCACTGCTCCCAAATGACAGCCTCCTTTACAAACCTATGGGCTCACCTCCTAAGCCTCCACATAAGGTTTTTGCAGCTGTTCAGCAGAATAATCAGTCTCATGCCCAAAACGTTAGAAATATTACAGCCTCAGCAACCATGGCTGTTTTTTTCCCCTTTCACGCTTTAGATTCTGTTCTGTGGGAGTGGCTGCTCCACTCCCACCAATGTTCTTGAGTTACTGTTGCCTGTATTCTAAGGTGATAAGATCACGGTATTTGGGGTCAGGAATGAATTTCCCCCACGCATATTGGCAGGGAGCTGGTGACTTGAGGAAGGGACATCTTTTAGGGTCAGGTGTGCATATCCCACATGTCCAGCTTTCTGCCACTGCAGAGGCCTCGGGCAGTGGCAAATCTCAGTTCTAGCCAACTAATATAGCCAGGGCCGACGAGGGGGGGGGGAACCGGTACAAATTACCAGGGCCCGGTGGTCTGGAAGGGGGCCCGGGGCCCGGTTTCCCCCCCTCTTGTCGGCCCTGTTTAGCCAGTCCACCCTTGCTGGGGGGCCCGAAAAAATTCCGCGCCCGGCTTCCCCCTCCCCCCATCGGCCCTGTTTAGCTGGTCTGCCCTTGCTGGGAGGCCCGAAAAAATTTTTTCACCGAGGCCTGAACCCGCTCTTGGTGGCCCTGATATAGCCTCAGTTCTATAGCCTCAGTTCTGCAACTCATAATCTGAGTATTACTTATTTGCACAAGTTGTACCATTGAATTTCCTGGGACTAGTCATGGGAGCAAAAATTACTCTGGGTAATGCTTGCAGAATCAAACTCCTTTGTTTGTACATTTCACTCTTCCTGAAAAAGCACAGCCTAGCTTTGTGGTGTAACACGCTTTGCCTTCCGATCCCCAAGCACTCCGCGGCTGAATCACCCAGAACACAGGAGTGCAGAAACAAGGGACTGTCAGCTCATTGCAACAGCCACTGCTTACCTGCCTTTGTGTTTTTCCTTCTCTACTGGAAGAAAAACCTACTGTACTTGCCATGTCCTTGTTTACATTGTCATGCTCAATCACTCACAAGGACATTGTAAGCTGTTGCATACTTTCTGGCTTCTCTTTGGGTTGATGTTTGGCAATCATTGGTCTGCTTAGTTTTAACTTGAGCATTAAGCACTAAGCATTATACAACATCCACCGCAGTCATATCAAGTGACCACAGGAAAATGCAAAACCGTGTTAAATTTTCTGTACAACAGTTTGATTCTTGACAATAGTCTGCATATAATAACATCGTCGGCCATCATTGCTTCATAATGCATTTCTAAGCAAATGTTTTATTATACTAATGGTTTTTCAGTATTCTAAACAAGGGATAAACAAATTATTTGGATCAGTTTAACAAGGGCTAGACTGCTAGCAGGCAGCTTCTCACAAGCTGCTTTTGAAACATTTTGGGATTTCTTTAAAAGACTAAACAATCACTGTAATGGTAGGAATATATTTGTCTACTTCTAATTAATCATAGACATTGACTCGTAAAATAAAAAGATAAAAATTGACCATTGTGTATAAATTCTATGCCTGATCTACCTTTGCACTATGGTGCCTCAGACCTCACAAAAGAAGCAAGGTTGGGCCTGGTCAGCACTTGGAAAGGAGACCGCCAAAGAATACGGCAAGAAGTGGTGCTGGGGACTCAGTAACTGGTGCAGTTCCCTCTGAGTCAGGTCTGAGCGAATGCATCCATCTGCTGCAAGGAGACTACAGCTGCCTTCTTCTGGATGAGACATAAACCACAAGTCCTGGCCACTTGTGGTGGTTAAAGCTTCCACGGCTCTTTTGATAAAACTGGGAGCACTAGCCCCAGAATCTTGGCCAAATTCTGGTCGAGGTAAATTCCATGCTGGTGATTATGAGTGTTCATTATTAAATCCCACCCGGCAGATTCAGTTCCACCCTGTTCTCTTCACTTCCTCTCCTCAGCTATGGGGCCAAGTTGCTCTGCTTTGCTAGGGCACCCAAGAGATGGTTGCACTTCATTGTTGTTGGAAAACATCAGTCTATACCATGCGTATTGCACAGAGTGCTGTGAGATTGAAAAGGCCTTGTGATTCTGAGCTGAAAGGGGCTGTAGAAGTGCAAAGTAGTATTAGTGCTAATGCACACTGCTGCTCGCTGCATAGGTTGAACTATAAACAGCTAACTTCTTGCCAGCTGGAATCCTTCATAATTTAAATGAATACATTAATTCCATAAAGGAGATCAGTCTGTTTCACTACAGCCCAAGTTCTGCCCTTGGATGGTTGCCCATTGATTTCAATAGGAGCCGTGCACATGTGTCTAAAGACAGAATTCGGCCCTTAAAGTGTGAGCTGTTGTGGAGACTCAATTAATGTGGGCAAGCCCCCTTTCGTGGCTGCTTCTAATTGGCTTCCTTTGTCATTCATGAAAGGCTGGAATTTTTTCCACTCCACAACTAGCCCCATAAATATATGAAGTGCTCTTATTTATGTAGCTTACTACACAGATCTGTGGAATTGTAATAACAGAGCGTAGGTCACTGCTGCAGAACAAAACTATAATTGTATGTCATTTAAAAACCAAGGATACTAGATAGTTTTCTATGGGCTCAGACATTTTTATCCCCTTTGTGACTGTTAGGAGAACATGATCTTTCTTTTTTTCTCTTCACAGCTGTCCCTATCTGCAGACCTTGGCTCTAGCCCAAAAGGACCAGTTCGCCCAAGTTGGGCTACTCACCAATCAACAGGGTACCCTGTTACCAAAGCAACAGCTAAGATCCTAGCTCAAAGTGCCCAGTGGAATGCTGGGATACGACCAACCCCTGTTCGAGCTCCAGTACCAAAGCTGAGTGAAAGAGGGAAGAAGGCCTTTGCAAGGATGAGCAGAAGTTCTCCATGTTAGTAAGCTGTTCCATCTCGTTCTTAAGCTACCAAAGAGACTACAGTTCTCTGAGTTTGGAGTTGGGGAGCCAAATTGATTAAGGATTGCAGGATTTGACCCTTACGTTTTTTAAGAGAGTAACCAGTTCAGTGGATAAAGAAACCAGAGCGGGCACAGCAGAAGGCATCTGATATGGCGCCTTGTAGCATTTTCAAAGAGAAACTGCAGGTGCAGTAAATGGAAGTGGATTGACAGCGTTTATTAATGATTCCCTATGGGAGGAGGGTATGGAGTGGAATCCTGTGGGGATCCCTTCTGAGTTCCATACCATTCAGAGCCTTCCTTTGTGACTAGGAGCCAAGGGTGATGATCCAGAACTTGGTGTGATCACAACTCCCTTGCTTTGTGAGGGGGAGGATTTAAATGCAATCCAATCTTGATACACTGGAGAAGGGGGTGGAATCGAGACAAACGAGAAGTGGGGCACGTAGGAAGGAATATGCAAATGCATCTATATGAACTGGAGGAGGGGCACCCCAGACTGCAGTCAAAGAGTTATAGAGGTAGGGATACACTGCATATAAATCAACAATACAGTGCCTATATATAAAATAGGGCCCTTATCCAGCAGTGAGGTCACATGGACAGAGCCCCAGTGAGGCTCTGCATTGGTCTGCAGTCCATACATGAGAAGCTCATTGCAGGATCAGGGCCTTCAACTGTATTAATTAATTAGCATATCACACGTCCATCAAATGTGGCAATTATTCTGCTCCGTTTGACACCATTCTGGCTCCTGGGGCAATACTGCACTCAGTCTTGAGTACTGCAGTTCAAAAAAGGACACAGGAAAATGGGAGTGAAAGCAGAGTTGATCCACACAGAGAAGACTCTTAGAAAATAAGCTGAGAGGAAAGGGGAAGGGGGGAACTACTGTCTCCAAACACCTACAGGCATCTTGTAAAGGAGACAGATGAATTATCCTCACTAAACTATAAGGATTTCACAAGAAATGATGAGCTGTATTAAGTGTAATTTAGGTTGATTGCTGGGCAAAACTACATAACCCCTTGTAAAAGAGAGACAGCCAAGTTCTTCTTTACCGTTCACATCTTCAGGGACCTCTTCTGGATCTCCACAATCTCCTCTGTGCTTTTCTTAAGGCGAGCTGACCAACATTGGACTCAGTTCTCCAGATGAGAGTAGTTTGCCATATTCCCATGATGCTGGAAGCGCAGGCAGTAGAATTAGGGATATTTGTAACAGGACCAAATTCTACAAAATGAGGTACTGATTTTGCAGTTTAGAAGTAATCTATACGTCCATTCAGTGACTAAAACAATCTATAGCAGCTGCTAGTCTCAGGATTTTCTCTTTATCCATTCTAGCATCCCCACTGTTTGAAGCTCAGCCCTGGCAAATTCCTCCATCGGACCATGGATCTGACGCAGAGTGAGGGAGTGAAGTTTCAGTGCAATTCATCCCAGTCAAACCGGCTCATCTGCCCAGCTTTCAGAAGATGCCGATCACGTCCCCTGAGTTACCGTGAAGAACGGATGTTACTGACATTTAAGAATCATGCTCAAAGTCTCAAGGATCCAGCTCCATTTTTTTATATCACTTGTCACAATAAGAGACTTCCCCCCGACCCTCACTGAACTCACTATACAATGCGGAGAAACAGGCATGGAGACCCTGAGGGAGATTTACTAGTATAGCTCTGGGCTAACTGCATTGCAGCCAGTTTACACGGAAGGTTTTTGGGGCAGGGACTATCTTTTACTATGTATATGTACAGCACATAGCAGAGTGGGCCCTCACTATGGTTGGGATCTCCAGGTGCTACCTTGCCTTTTTTCAGTAGGTTTTCTTGTCTCGGCTGCTTTGGATGCTGATGCCTGATTCTGCTTTCACTCAGTGTATGTCTTCACTGCAGAGTTAACTTGGGCAATTGGCACCCGGGTTAGTCTAACCCAGGTGCAAGCCGCCACACTGCAAAGCCTTACTGTCTTACTGTGTCCTCACTGGTGCTGAACTCCCATGTGTGTGTCATTAGGACTTTGGGGGCATATCCCATAGCCCTGTGTGCTGCAGTATGCTGAGCTACGCTGATTCTTTCCCAGTGAATTGTGGGAGAATTTGTCTGTCTTTCTGGGCGCAGGGGGGATTGTGGGAAGGCACTGCAGGATTACCAGCACTGGAGTGATTTAGGCCTGGTCTACACTAGGGGAGGGGATCGGTCTAAGTTACACAACTTCAGCTACGTGAATAACATAGCTGAAGTCGACATACTTAGATCTACTCACCGCGGTGTCTTCATTGTGGTAAGTTGACAGCTGATGCTCTCCCGTCGACTCCGCCTGTGCCTCTCGCTCTGGTGGAGCACTGGAGTCAACGGGAGAGCACTTGGCGGTCGATTTATCGCATCTAGACTAGACATGATAAATTGACCTCCACTGGATTGATCGCTGCCCCTCAATCCAGCGGGTAATGTAGACAAGCCCTTAGACTGTGTCCTCACTGCAAAGTGAGTGGTTACAGCCTGAGTGAATGTGGAGCCCAGGATCTTACTTATCCCCCAGCTGTGCCTGCTAGCCTGGGTTGAAACTCCCCTGAACTCCGGGGAGAGGTTTGTGCATGGATGGGAAGGTGGGTTAGGGCTAAAAGCCAGTTAGGAGCTCATGTTAACTCTGCACTGAAGACAGACCCTCTCCAAGGTTTGACTCCATGACTTCAGTGGTGTGACTTCTGATTTACACCAGCGTGAGAGCAGAATCAGACCCCAAACTTTGGCTAAAAGAGTTGCATGAGATTTTCCATGTGGCGCTGATACCAATATGATTGGCACAGAGAAGGTGAATCGGGCACCCATGCTTACCTTGTTCATGATACAAGAACAAGAGAGAAGTCAGCAAAACTAAAAGGCAGCAAATTTAAGACTGATATTTTACACAACATGTAATTAACCTATGGAACTCTTTGCCACAATATATCACTGAGGTCAAGAGCTTATTAGGATTCAAAACAGGATTAGACACAGTAACTTTAGATAGAAAGAAAGTAAAGTCTCATGCTTCAGGGCACATGTCAGCTACTAACTGATGAGGGTTTAGAATAAGCTTCCTTTGTGAGCAAGGTTATTCTGTAATTGTCCACTGCAAGATTTCTTGTACCTTCCTATGAAACATCTGACACTGGACACTGTCTGAGCCAGGATACCAGACTAGAGGGACCACTTGTCTGGTCCAGCATGGTAATTCCCATGATCTGGTTCTTTGTCTCTAGCTGTGTTTTGTAATGTGCTATGTATATTTCTAACTCCAGATCAGTTAACTAGTAATTAGCTCATCTCCTTTTCCCACTCTTGACTCTGTACCTTCTTTCAGGCTGCTTGGACCCAAGTCTCTATGGGATTCTTCACATTTGAGTTATGTTAACAGCAGTCATCTTGGGTGGGGATTCAATGAAGAACCAACCTGATTTTGTCACTCCCCTGCCTTAAATAGGCTTTATATATGGCGGGAATCTATTGTCTTCC